ATTCCTGCTTAGACATTTGTTTTCATTAGTTACCACATATCCTTCTCTAAGTTGAAATCTTAAGTTTTCAATATAATTAGTATTACAACCTTCATTCTCATTAATTCTGTCCGAAGAAAAAGTAGTCATTTTTAACAGCACTATGGCCCAAATGATGGATATGGGCTTATTGGCTGTCGCCTGTGATGCACTCATTTACAGCTCTAGCAATCAATGAATTGTTATCTCCCAAGTGGATGAATGAACTTGTAAGTTTTAATCCTCTTCACATTATCTGCACTTCCATGTGTTCAAAATGAATTGTATGGCTTAAACGTGAGTAATTGCAATGCACTTTCCATATTTATTGGCGAGGATTTGTATATTAACATATAACCTTGTTTATGCCCTGCCGTGCAATTTACTCATTTGCGTACACGAGTTAAAAGAAAAACAAACAGATTGTTGCATTGCCCAGCCTTTAAGTCAATACAAAATTTAGCTGAGTTGACAGTCCAACAATATCATTTTAATAAAGGCTAATGACATGTTAATTAAAGCATTCAGCATATTAACAGTCAACAAAATCGTATTACAATACTGGAAGATGAAATCGTTTGAAAGTGCTTTTTAAAAAATACTTTGGAAGAAAAATACTGGAAGATGAAATCGTTTGAAAGTGCTTTTTCAAAAATACTTTGGAAGAAATATCTTCCAACCTGGAACCTAGACCGCCAATTTATACCGATGAATCAAAGTCATCTCTACATAATCGGCTGTACAATAATCTACAAGAACAAGATAGTAAACTATTACTATGACTATTTGTGTAGGCATCACCAGGACTTGTTGCCGACCGCCAAGATGAGTCTTTTGTGAATATCTTACTCCAATATATTGGGTTAATGCGACGAATCTATTCGATTGAGATATATAGGCTGGACAAAAATAATGGACCCAAATCCATGGCAACTCACCCCAACGGGCTGAATTGACTTGGTGAACCCATCCCAGTTTGATGCATGTTTCTCACACTTTAGTTGAAAAAATTAACAAAGGAAAAGAAAAAGGCTGCTAGGAATACCGCGGCATCAAGCTGGAATCGGAATTGTTTTCTTCAAGCCATGCCATCATCATTGCTGCGCCCCGCCTCCATTCCCTTTTCCACCTTTCCCACTTTTCCCTTTCCTCATTATCGATCTCTTCCCCACCGAAGCATCCCCATGCTCTTTCCATGGCTACATCACCGCGAACCTCTAGGGATCTATTCCTCTTCCGCGCTCCACCTCCATCGCCGGCAGCCATGCCTCGCGACACCTCGCCCGAACCTCCCGAAGACGACGACCTTTCCAGATTCCTCAAACGTTCCCGCCGCGTTCCGGAGCTGATGTTGCCGCATCGGAATCCTCTGGAAATCGATTTGAAGTCATTGATCTCGGAGGAAAGGGGAGGATCGGAGGAGGAGAATCTACGCTTGGCGGCGAGATCGATGGGCTGTTTCCAGATCATTAACCATGGGATTGAGGAGAGTTTGATTCAAGCGGCGGTTGAAGGAGCGGAGGGGATTTTTGGGTTGCCGTTGGAGAGGAAGAAGGAGGCGGCGAGATCGCCGGAAAGAAAGTGGGGATTTGAAGTGGAGGAGGAAGAAGATGTAGGAGGTAGCGATGAGTTCTTCTGGTGGAGCGACGCAGCAGAAGGAATGGCGGGAGTTTTGCCGCCAGAGTGCGATGCTTTTAGGTGATTTTTCCTTTCTTTTTTTTCTTACCATTAAATCATTTTGCCGCCAGAGTGCGATGCTTTTAGGTGATTTTTTCTTTCTTTTTTTTTTACCATTAATTGGCGAATTGTGCCAAAATCAAACCATTAAATCATTCAATTATTTTTTAAGTATTTATTTAGGATCCATTTTTTTTATTTTTAAAAATAAGTTTATTTAATATAATTTTATATATATTAAAATAATTTCAATTATCTTGTAAAAACATATAAATAATTTTAGATCTTCTGAATATTTTTAAAAATAATAATATCATAATCAAATATATTAAATATATTTTTATTCAAATTGAAATATAAATTAAATTAAAAATGATCCCAAATGATTTTTACTTATTTAATATTTATTTATTTATTCAAATGTAGAGTTAATGATATCAAATAACCATCATGTTAGATATTAGTTTTCAGATATCTAAATGTTGATATTTACTTATATAATATTTTATGAAATGCATTTTAATTTAAAAAGGAGTTAATATTAGTAGAATTTTTATGTGATTTAAGAACTTGAATTTTATATAAATAAAAATTTAACTTTTAAATATTAAATATATAAATATATAAAATATTGTGATATGTATGTAAATCCCCCCAATATAAAGAATTAATAAATTGATAAAATCTTTTTTAATATATATGATATGTTGTTATTATTATTATTATTATTATTATTATTATTATTATATATATATATTCATCAAATTCTCAATAACAATTTGATCATGACATACATTTGAGTTTTTAATTATGTAATTATCTCTATAATATATTGATACAAAACTATTTCAGTGTCAAAATGGAGCAGCTTCTAATGAAAATAAAGAAAATGGCGCGAGAGCTTGAGCTTATTTTAATGGATTCCGAAAGCTCCATTAAATGGAGAAAAGAGAAGAATGATATTAAAGATGACAACATGATTGTATGTCTCCGCAAGCACAGGCGAAGCAAAGAAGCAATTTTTAATGAAGAAAGGGAAGGTTTTGATCTGAATCAGGACGTGCTGGGAGCGTTTTTGAGGAGCTTGGGTTGCTCGCACGCTCTCAGCTTCCATGTCTTCGCAGGGGCTTCCAGCTTTCGAGTTTACTCTAAACAAGCTCTGGTTTCATTTCGACCTGCTAATGCCGCCATGGTGGTCACCATAGGAGACCAGATGCAGGTAAGTTTTAGAGGAATGGTCTAAATATATAGGAAAATATTTTTCAGGCATTTACTTACCTATCATCCAATTCCTATGTATTTACCTATATAGTTGAATCCATATTTGCCCTGTGAATCACACCTAAGAAATATAAGATAAAATAAGAGAGAGGAAAAGAGTGCACATTAATGAAGAGTAGAATGAGGGACTTGTGTAACATTTTATTCATGAAATAATATCATGTTTATAGACAATGGGATACATTATGTGATATTAAATTGATATATCTACTTGAGCGGGGACTCTATAGGTTATTTTAGGTTTTTTACCCTTGTGGATCTAGGACATTACTGCTCTTTGGCAGGTCAACTGAACTTGATAGAACTCATGCAAGTCTTGTTTGGTCGACTACATCAGACGATGTTGTCAGTCTAGTGGATCTGGGGCTGTCAATCGGCTCGATAGTTGTGGGCAGAATTCTGACGATTGGTAGATAAGCTCGGGTCGTGGACCCCCGATCTCCACCAAAGAGCTTCTGTCAACAGGTTGAAGATAGGTCATCGGACATAGTATAAATCATTGTAATCCTACGAGTGGCCTTCCCTTAGACGAGAGGATCTTAATGGGGCAGTTGAGACCTATAAATATCTATTGTATTCTCTTTATGGTGTCGAGGGAGATGGCTAAATGATCCCGATATGACAGGGTCGTTTTCTATTGGATCGACTTCATCATGTTGGTAGGCTTGGAAGACTCTTTGTCTGTTGTCTGAATAAGCTGCTCGGGCTATTCAAACTCGACCACTCTGGTGATCACTCAAGCGGTCTCGAATTTGCTACATCTGGTCAGATATTAACATATTCCACTGAACATGTTTTTTATGATTCATCTTGACATTAGAGCTTTCTCATTTAGAAGATAAAATCTGCTCAAGATTTGTGCTCTTTTTTTTTCGTGTTTGA